ATTAATTCCATTGCTAATATTTGGTGAAATTTTCTTCACAAAAGTTTATTAGTTTAATAAAACTAAATATTATATACATTTTTCAAAATAAAAATAATAATAAAATTTATGAAAACTCAGGTCCTAAATTGATAGTTTTCAATCATTCGGGTCCTAGATTGATAGTTTTCCATCATTCGGGTCCTATACCGGTACATTTCATCTTTCAGGTCTCGAATCGATAGTTCTTCTATCTTTCAGGTCCTGGATCAATAAAATTCCTTATATCTATATTGTTCAAGTTATTTTAGGAGTGTGTGATATTTTTTAATACGTGGCATGTTGAACTGCTTAAATATACTAATAATAATTATTGTTCAATATTGAATATGACATCAATAGATTATTAATTTTATTTTGTAACATTTTAATAATGGATTAAATATGTTGCTAGTAACGCCGATTTAGTATATTTCATTAGTGTATGATAATTTGTTCTATTGGGAAACATGAATGGTAATTTACCGATACCGTACCGTTACTGAACCGAAACTTTGGTATATCAAAATGTCGTATACCGAAACTTCGGTAAGATAACAGTATATAAATTTTGTATACCGAAAGTTTTGGTACGACAAAGGTATGAGAGAAAATATTTGGTATACCGTACCGAACCACCCCTAGTAATAAGGACAAGGAGGTTTTTAGCAACTGACTAGCACATCCAAATGCATCACATACTCCAATGAATCAACAACCATTACCCACACGAGTAGCTCAACTGGTAAAGCGGTGGGAAAGTTGGACAAATGAATCAACAACCCTGGTGTGCACGAGTATACGGTCTACCACCGTTAGGATTGGTTGAGTCACTGTGATTTACAATCTCCCATGTGTTTTGTCGAGTCGGGGCGTGGGGGCCCTTGGGGTTGGGGATTCAACCTTTTGGACAAATGAATCAACAACCCTAGCTTTAACATATAAGTCTTCACGAGTTCCATATCTTTTTAATCAATTCTAATTAATCACATTTTTTATATGCTTGGTGTTTGAAGTGAGCAGGAAAATGTAAGGATCAAATAACTTGATTAGCAGAAATTCAAGTACTTAGCCAAACGGTAATGTTATATGTCCTCTAATTTAATTTTATATTTTCCGATCACCTTTTCTACTCCTTTTGTCAAACGTGTCAACTTCATTCAATTAGTAGTTCATATTCAGAAATTCAAGGTTCAGCTCCAGACAATAGCCTCTAATTCAAACTATAGTCACATAGTTCGTCGAACTTTCGGTACAAGAATGTGGTTCACTAGATCTAGCGTATACGGTTCGGAGGGGTAGATTCATTTTGGTACCCATTCGGTATGTTGCACCTTATGTTTGGTACGGTATAACTTATGTTTTGGTACTACATTAAACAAAAACAAATTTTATAACCAATTTCATAACCGTAAACAAAATAAAAAACATTAATATTCCAGGGTACTGAAGAATAGAAGGTGCGAGAAATTGAACATTTTTTCACTGAAATAAACAGGTGAGCTTGTGGAAGAGTAGGTGGTGTGTGAAAATGAAGAGTTTGATAACATGGTTGGACACATTGATGACCTGAATAAGAAATTGAAGAGGTTGGTAATGGTTTGAAGTCATCTCATTTGTAGGAACGTTTGAAACTAGCATGTCTTGATATCCGCACACTGAAAGGAAATGACAAGTCTAGGGTCCAAACTTGTTTGCTGGGAAAATTAGTGCAATCGTGTGAATGGATAGTGATTGCAATCGACATAAAGAGCGACGGGGAATGACAAGGGCAGCGTACTATGTAGCTTTGGGAACCATTTTGTACTGCGATTGGGTATGTAGCATTTGGTCCGGAGATCGTTGCCTCTTGAGCGATTTATGTGTCTATGATTCAGACATAAGCCTCCAGCTCTGACTCGTATTGCCAAACATAACCTTAATCTAATTGCAAAAGAAGTTTCGACTTTTTGGAGCATAAATGTTAATCTACTATTAAGAAGTTTCATTTAATACTCTGTTTTGAATCAAGCGAATTCACTTGTTAATAGTGAATGGGGTGGGGTATTCACTTTGAGAAATAACTCAATAGATGGGAAAATGGGATGGTTCAAAAGCTTATAACGTTCTCTTCAGTTCAACTAATTTCATCAAGCAATTAAACGTGCATGTAACTTGCACAAATTAAATATCTTTGAACAATTTTCAGTAACAAGTGGACTGACTATCCTACCAAAGATACACTTAAATCATTAGTAATGGCCTCTGGAATCCTTCAACACAATAATAGAAAAGAAATTATCTAAATATTCCATTATAGAGAATACATGCTTTATTGATTCAGCACTCTTTTCAAAATAAAATTATATTTTAAAGGCTTAGGGTAACTTATAACTTCAAATAGTTGTGTATTAGATTTGATACATGTACGAAATACTCTAAGCTACTAAAACCAAAACCGAATGAAAATCATTGAAGAGGTTGAAGGTAATATTTTAAAAACTAACCAATTTGTGTATTTCAAAATAGGATTAACATGTTTTTATTTCCTAAATAGGAGTAATTTCTGCCATGTTTTGGCAATGCCAGACTTTAAACATGGCAGTATTTTCCAAACTTGACAGTAATTACTTCTATTTAAAGAATAAAACATAGTAGTCATATTCTGGAATTGAGAAACATTTTTACTCCTATTTCGAGAATTTTCTCTTTTAAAAGTATACAAAACAAACATACACTCCGCATAATGCAAATTTTCAAATTAAGAGGAGTTTAGTGAAGAAAGAATATAAGATTAGATCTTTAGTGATAAATCCCTCCATCTGGACACTCAGAAAAATACTAGTTGTTACATATACAGTTAATTATGAACAATATTTCCAATTGTGCAATGCCTTGGCGGTTTTATGGCCACATAACTTATGTTGTGTGGTAATAAAAAGCTGCAGAATACTAGTTGCGTACTTTATTAGGATTATCGAGCAGAAGTAAAAAACACAAACTTAGTACTAGTCTTAATGATTTCATGACAATTGAAATCAATTATAAAAAACTATAGCAGTATGGTGTATAAATTTCAGGATGAAACTACTTCCACATAGGGATGGACTCGGGCCGGGTGGCCCGACCCGGAACCGGCCCGGGACCGGCACTGTTCTGGCCCGGCCCGACCCGGTGGCCCGGTCAGTGACCGGTCCGGGTAGGCCCGGCCCGTGGGTTTTCCGGTCCGGGCTCGGGTCACCCAAAACAAGGCCCGACCCAGCCGGGCCCGGGCCCGGTTCGGGCCATTTTTTTTTTTTTTTTGTTTTTTCAATTTTTTTTAACTTTTCGGGTTGGGCTGGGTATTTTGGGCCATTTGGGGTGGTTTGGGGGGTTGGGGGGTGGGAGGGGGGTTAATTAGGAAGAGGAAAACAAAAAAAAATATATATATATAATGGGCCTGGCCCGGCCCGGACCCGGTCCGGTCCCAGGTCCACCATTTCTGACCCGCCGGCCCGCCCGGGCCTAGGCCCGACCCGGAAGTTCCACAAGCACAAAACTAACGAATGAACAAGGAAAATTACATTTTTACACAAAATTAGTACACAAATTGTACAAACTCCTCCTAGTTTCCGGGGGTACATAGGAATGGACCGGTTCCGGTTCGGGCCCGGGCCCGGTCGGGCCTCGGTTCATGAAGGGGAGGCCCGGAACCGGCCCGGGTAACCCCCAGGTCCGGGCCGGGGCGGGGCGGGCCTCGGTTCTTTTTTTTTTTTTGGCTTTTCCTAGTTAACACCCAACCCTCCCCCTCACCCCCAAACCAACCCTAACCACCTCAAATGGCCCAAAATACCCAGCCCAACCCAAAAACTTAAAAAAAATCAAAAAAGAAAATTGGCCCGGCCCGGGCCCGAACCGGTAGGGATGGACCGGTTCCGGTTCGGGCCCGGTCGGGCCTCAGTTCATGAAGGGGAGGCCCGGAACCGGCCTGGGTAACCCCCGGGTCCGGGCCGGGCCTCGGTTCTATTTTTTTTTTTGGCTTTTCCTAGTTAACCCCCAACCCTCCCCCTCACCCCCAAACCAACCCTAACCACCTCAAATGGCCCAAAATACCCAACCCAAAAACTTAAAAAAAATTCAAAAAAAAAAAATTGGCCCGGCCCGGGCCCGAACCGGCCGGGCCGGTTCACCTTTTGAATGGCCCGAACCCGAACCGACATCCCACCGGGCCGGGTGGCCCGAACCGGCCAACCAACCGGTTCACCGGGCCGGTCCGGGCCCGCACAGTAGCGGCCCGGTCCGGTTCCGGGCCGGTTGGCCCGGCCCGAGTCCACCCCTACAAACCGGTCGGGGCGGTTCACCTTTTGAAGGGCCCAATCCCGAACCGCCATCCCACCGGGTCGGGTGGCCCGAACCGGCCAACCAACCGGTTCACCGGGCTAGTCCGGGCCCGCACAGTAGCGGGCTGGTCCGGTTCCGGGCCGGTTGGCCCGGCCCGAGTCCAACCCTAAGTGTACACAGGCAATTCGTTAAAAAAATCAGTAATTGTTTGCCCAATTGCCTGTGTACATAGGCTGTGTAAATTTGTGTACTCCAAATTTTGTATGAAACCAAGTACTCATGAAACAATGAACCTAAAGCCGCTGGACTCGGCTAATAGCAGAACGGTACATCACCAAGGCACGACATCTGGCACTTATCTGAATTGCACGAATTATGATATTTTTTGTCCTAATGGCCCAACTCACAGATGGGCTAGATATGAAGGATTGGCATCCAACTCAGCAGTATGGCTCACCCACTGGAGCACGCATTGTAGCTTACAACCCTGACAGTTGCAACCTAATAGTGTGTACAAATTGGCTTTGGTGCCTACCTTTCTAATATCTAAGACCACAGCACCACACTTAAAGACAATACAAGACATCCCATTGATGATCTAATCATTGTTGAGTTCTTAGATAGTTAATAGTTCTGTTACGCATATGTGGTTCCTAATTGGACCAATTTGCAGCAAATTCTTTGTGGTTTTTAATCAAATACGTATAACTTGTACTCTATAATTAACTACACAAATCATGATATTGTCATTTATTTATTTATTTATAATACGGAGTAATAACAATGTAGCAAATTAGCAATAGGGCATCTTTTGCTTGTAGTATCAATATAAATATCAATATTTTTGCTTGTAACAAGTACAGCTACGTAAGAATGGGAAGCACCTCATTTCATTCAACATCAAATCCTTTCTCCTGGAGTTCAGAGATGACTTCATTCCTCATCCTCACCCAAAGCTTGAGGGCTTCCTGCTCCATCTTTTTGTCCTGCAAAGCTTTCTGATAGTTATAAGAATCTTTATCTGATTCCATAAGCCCCTTGGGCCCGATGGTTGTACCGATCATCCCACCATTGGCAATAAACTCCTCCATGGCTTCTTCATCACCCGGATATGGAAACCTCCGCCGCTCATAGAGGTGGGCCAACTCCCTTTCTTCCTTGGGCTTTGGTTTCAGCGTCCACCACCCAAGCGGTGACGTCTCATTATATAGCCACGCCAAGCCGGCTATTGTATAAGTGCAGAGCAAAGCCTTACTCAATTGCTGCCAGAAGTGATAATCCTCCTTCCCTAACCCTATTTTATCCATTAGTTTCTCTGTGCGGAATGATTTCAGCATAGCAAACCCTACAAAACCATCATATGGATCAGCTACGTTACATAACTACAAATACGTACCTTAGTTCGGGGCTTTCATCAAGCACTTGGTGTGCAATGAGATAAAAAATATTATTCAAGCTTATGGACCCTTCTGCCACCATTTAATCCATACGATTTTGATACTTTGGGCATCAAAATTACAAGTTTAAAGCTGACAGAAAAATGTGCTTACCTGTTTTAGCATCTTGAAATCGCTTACGAACCATTGCAACGTTTTCTCACTACTGGAGGTTTGTGGCTTTCTGGGCAGATTGGGGAATGAGGTGTTTATTAGATATACAATTATACTGGAGAAACTGCATTTAAGAAAGAAAAAAACTGTACTCAAGAACAATTCCCTCAATTCATGTTTAATCATGTAAAAAGAATTTATCATTTTTTATTTTAAGGATACAATTGCAAATTTCTATACTTCGTATAATAATAAGGATATGTATACAAAAAAGATTATCAAAATAGGACTCATGCACTCCTATTTTGTAAAGTTTTAATCAACTTATTCTTTTAATAGAACTAAATAAGTTCTTTTTGCGGAATAAAACATACATAATCTTATTTTTGAACTTTATAAATGTTTTAGTCTTGTACTGAACAATTTCTATAGTTTCATACATTTTTCCGAATTTAATGAATGCATGTGACATGAAAATATGGTAAAAAAATTATCAATCATATATATGGTTAGAGTTATTCATATAGCAACACTTTTTCTAATATTTAAATAATACAAATGTCCAATACTTTTACATTTTAATTCAATTAATACTAACACCTAATGACAAGATGTGAAAATCTCAAAAAAAAAAAAAATCACATTAGTACTAATTCTAATTGCACATTTGTACATCCGCAGATTGGCTAAAGCATTAAGGAGTGAACCACAACAAAAAAACTATGAGAAATTACCCAAAATAGGAGTAAATGAGATTTGGAATTCCAAAATAGAACTATTATATTTTTTCCCCGAAATAGGAGTTGTTACTGCCATGTAAGAAAAATACTGCCATAATTGAAAAATACTGTCATTAATTATAATTAATATTGTCATGTTAAATGCACTGTACTGCAACTATTTGGCAGTCACGCCTACAAAATGACAGTAAATATTGTCATGTTTAGTCCTATTTCGGAAATAAAAATATAGTAGTCCTATTTTGGAATCCCAAACTCCATTTACTCCTATTTTTTGAAATCTCCCAAAAACTATACAAGGGCAGCAACTCAGCAAGCCTCTAAAAGACAAAAACAACATTTGGAATACATCAAAGATAGACAAAGTCTCAAATTCCTTCCCAGAAAATCGGAAAATCTGAAATTACATACCTCAAATTCCAGAAATAAACTAAACTAAATAAATTATAACAAAAAAAAATTGAAAGTAAACTACTGAAAAACTGAAATACATACCTGCAATACAGAAAATCGCAGACCACCGTCCAACGAGGCAGTCAGGAACAGAATCATGCACTCAGCTTCAGCGAGCTTCCGAGCATGTCGCACTCGCAGCCGGCGCAGGCCGGAAGCCGGAAGGGGATGTCTTCAAGTGGCTGAAGTGGGGAACAGGCGACTGGGAGAACAGGCTGGAATAGCCGTTCAGCCTCACACGTCCGAATCGTCGATGAGGGATTGAGGATTTGAGGTCGCAGGCTCGCAGCCAGCAGTTCAGTGAGGATGATCGATAGACGACCAGAGGTGCAGACTACCAAACCCAAGGACGGATCTAGCTTTGGCATCCAGGTGGGGCCAAAATGTAATTAAAAACGAATATTCAAAAAAAAACTTATTCTAGCAACAAAATCAAAGACAAAAAAAAAGATTATAGAAATAAGAGTTTTCATTAAAGTCAAATACAAAAATACCATAATTTTACAACTGTTCTCTACGGGTTTTCATCGATTGATATCGTTTGATTATGACATCATTGTCAATTTTCAAGAAGATGTCTTTTTCTACCTAAACAATAAGTCTATCATTGAGTCAATCATCACTCGTCCGATTGCTCAACCTATCTTTCACTATATTCATTATTGAAAATACTCTTTCAACACTTGCGGTTGCAACAGGAAGATTTAAACACAATCTTGAATTCATATCAATACATAAATTTACATAATTTACAATAATATTCATTACAATTTACAAGTTCACAAATAATAATCAAATTCATATCAAGCAAAGCTGTAATTTAGTCTTTAACTTGAATTAAAAAAACAAAAAATTTAAAAGATTAAAAAATACCTCTTAACCACTTATGACTTTAGTGACTTAGGCAGCACTTTTCCTTTTTTATGTTACGAAAAAACCCCAAATCTCCTCTTCTCAAAACTTCAAAAGTATCTGTTATACACAAGAATTTGTTAGTTTACTGAATTTAGGGAAGAAATTGATCAGTAACATTCACCTTACCTTCTTATTAAGAGGGATAGCTTTTAGCTTGTTTGATGACAAAGAGAAATGAGAGGATTTAGAGTAGCAGCCTGCCGCCGCCGTGCGCCGTCCTGTCTTGGCCGTCCGGCAGTGAAGATGGCTGTCGCCCGTCGCCCCGTCGCGGCGTCGCCCGTCTGGAGTTCGATTTTCGTTTTTGGCGTGGGGTTTTCACGATATCGGCGAAGCAGAACGAGTCAGGACTGCGCTGCTCTTGCTCTTTCCTTGCGCACGGCTTTTTGGAGTACTCGGACTGGGCCTGATTTTTTAAAATTTGAGACAGGGCCTGTTTTATAAACCTACATACTACTACGTAGTTAAAAAAATAAAAAATTTGAGCATGGGCCTGGGCCCTAGGCCCAATCTGCCCCTGCCGGCGGGCGCCGGTCGTCCAAACCGCTTTAGGTTTGCTTAATTGTTTGGACCGTTTTTTACGTAGTGTTTGTTTTGGGCCTACAGACGACCGGACGAGCCCATCTCACATATAGTACATTTTTTTTGTGTGGACCTAACTTTAAGATGTACTAGCATAGTACTCCCTCCGTCCCGCTAGAAGGTTCCCGACGGTTTACGATTCTTTACTGACGATAAAGCAACTTAATCTCCATTCATACTCTGATGATTTTTAGTAAATAAAATTAACATATTCAGAAACTATATTAAAACCGCTACAAAGCCTGATAAAAAAGGTAGGATGATAAAAATGTTTTGAACCTATGAAAAAAAGTAAAAAAAGTAATTGCAATTTTATGAAAGAATAAAAAAATTAAATCTCAATATATACAAAGTAAAAAGCCTACGGATTATGTGCGCGCGCGCGCGCACACACACACACACATATATATATATAGAAAGAATTACAACCCTTGGATCATCTTTTATTATTATCTTGGATCAAGGTTAATTGAGTAACTTTCACTTCTCCTTTAATGTGTGCACATTAATTGGCTTATATCCATTTAATTATGTAAGTATGATTTTCCTTCCTTTCAGGATTATTACTCTTTTAACTTCTATACTTAGCTTCTTCTCCATCTTAAATCATACATAGAATTTTCTCCAATGAGATTAAAGCTTAATGTTACAATTATATTTCATCATATTCAGCTCGTTGTTTGTTTTTCTTTCTCTTTTCGGACTTTATTATTTTCAATCAAACTATGCACTTTTAATATATCAATTTTTCATAATATCACATATGATTGTGATGAATATTTATAATAATTTACTTTTAAAACATTAATTTTACACACTTGTGTATGATTACTCACACTTTATTGAAATGAAATATAAATAAATATCATTAATATATCCAATTTATTTGATCACAAATATCAAATAATTATTAAACGGTTCATTTTCATTGGCTTGAAAATTTGTCTACCTGAATCGATTACAATGCAATTTTTTAAAAGGTAAGTGCAAAACATAAAAAGTGCACCTATTTTGTGCACCAAAGCGAAAAATATTCATTATATAATGCAGTGCAGAGGGTAAAACAATGCACCTAATAAAAATTAAAAGAATAACATAGATTATCCAATTTATATGATGATACATTTAATAGTGAAAATAGAAAGGTGATGCATGATGTTTCAACTTTCAAGTATAAGTGCATACACACTACAAAAAACACGCCGTTTGTCACGGATTTTGTCACGGACGGTAGTTCAAAAAATCCGTGACAAATGATTTTTTGTCACGGATTTGTCACGGAAAAAATCCGTGACACCAGGGGCGTGATAACGTTTTTGTCACGGAAATTAATCCGTGAGATTGTTTGCCACGGATTTGTCACGGCCACCGTCCGTGACAAAACACTTCACCGGAACCCTATCGTCTTTCATTTGTCACGGACGCATCCGTGAATAAATTTTTTTATTTTTCAAAAAAAAATAATTATTTGTCACGGAAATTTCCGTGACAAATATAAAAAAAAGTTTTCCCAAATAGAGTGGGCGGGTATTTGAAACGATCCGGAAATTTCAAATTTTAAATTTTGTCACGGAACTATCCGTGACAAAATATTTTGAAAAAAATTTGAAAATTTTAAAATAGAGTGGGCGGGTGCTTTAAAATTTTCAAAAAAATCAAAATTTTGAATTTGTCACGGATCCCATCCGTGACAAAACATTTTTTTTAAAAAAAATACGTTATTTTCAGCGTTTTATGTATTTAGAATAAAATGAATTTATATTTTGTCACGGAACAGTCCGTGACAAAAGTTTAAATTTTTTTTAAAAAAAAAATTAAAAAAATTCAGCGCATTTTTAAAAGTTTATTTCAAAAGTTTATTTAATAAATAATAACCATTAAAATTTAGGCGCTTTTTCAAACATTTAAACTTAATAAGCATTGTTTTTAATAAATAGTTAAACAATAATCTTAATAAATAATTGTTTATAATAAATAATTAAACAATCATCATTAATCATCATTAATCATCAATAATCATCATTACACATTAATCATCAATAATCATCATAAATAATAATCTAATCAAACCATCATTATAAAGCACAAATAATTAATATTCATACATTAACACATCAAATTTTAAAAATCCTTAAAATGTTAATAAACTAATTATTACAAACCATCAATGGTTATCATAATCAGCATCAGCATCAGCATCATCAGGTTCGTTACGATGATCGGGTTGCCTTCCGTGGCCACGGCGGCCACCACGATGGCTGCCTCGACTGCCACTGCGGCTGCCAACACGGCTGCTGCCACGATAAGCTTGAGCTCCGGGAGTCGGGATATCATCATAATATCCATATGGAAAGTTGTTGGAGATATGGCTATAATTAGCAAAACCCCTGCTGCCCATACTGCCCATATTGCCCATATTGCCCGCGAAGGGAACTTGTGGGGTCATCTCGGGGTGCTGTATGTGCATGGATGGACGGTAGGTGGCGTTGAAAATACGCATTTGGCGTTCCATCTCTTCCAACCTTTCTCTTGTTCTTCTTTGCTCTTCATCCCGTATCCGAGCTTCTTCATCCCGCCTTCGAGCCTCGGCTTCACGTTCCTCCAATAGTTTCTCGAGGCGGGTAACCCGATCATCATATGTCGAATGAGAAGATGAGCTAGCTCCTTTGGCCTTCTCTAGGATCCGTACGCCTTCAGAACCCATAAGCGGCACCCGGCCTTTGTAAACTCCGGTTGCCGCCAAGCTAGATGGCCTCATTATCTTGATGTTCATCAAGTTCGTCATCAGAATCAGCCAGCTCATCAACTCTCTTCCCCCGCTCTTCCTCATATTTTTTCTACAAGTTCAAAAATATATTATATAAGAGATCATAAAAAATCGAAATTTATTGAATTATGTTTCATTATTTACTTCAATTTCAGAAAGGCGGGGAGGCGGCATGGCACCCTTCTTCGTCCAGCAATGTGCCATGAGTTTCAATGGCGTGACCCGTTTTTTCACGGGTCCAGATCCTTCCTACACGGATTTCAAAGTTAATAAAAAAATATATACATAAAGGTATGGAATGGAAATAATTTTAACTAATTAGAGTTTACCAGATCTTTTTTATGTTGAATTTGGGGTTTGCGGCCCCTATGCCATTGAACTTCCTTGGCTTTCTCAGAGTTCCGGTTTGCCTTGGCCGTTTCGCTTCTCAGCAAAAATGAGGCATCCGTAGCCCAGTGGCGGCAAAGCACTTCCCACACATCATCGCCAAGGAATTTTGGCTTTTTACCCGTAGACCGGGCGGTCCTAAAAGTGGGTCTCAACCACCCAGAAATCCTAGAATTGTATTCTTTGAGAATAACTTGGTCTAGGGCAAAATGCCAACGATGGGAAGCCTTCATGAAAAACATTGATATATCATCATTTCTTAAATTTAAGTTATTAAAATGTAACAAAAAAATTTATTTTTACCTTGAACAACCGCCACCATAGTTCACGAGTGGCCGCCGGAACCTCACCATAAGTCGACCACGGCCCGGTGAAATGACCACAAACAATAGACTTGATTCTATTCAAGACCTCGGAATCGCTTCAAAAAATTGATAATTGATAAAAACAATTGTATTAATTCTTAGATATAGAGATTATACTATTTTATGTTAGAGAGTGTTAGTTTATTATTACCTATGGATTGATTGAGGTGTCACCTCAAGCGAACCGGGATTGTGGCGCTCTTCTTGAGTGGGGGGGCATATATTGCACGAGATGAAGGAGGTGCATGAGATGATGCCCCCTCCCCATGCACGCTTATATGAGCGTCTGATTGTTCGGAGGGAGGAGTTTGGACATGTCCGTCAAGAGCTTGTCCTTCGTCGGGATTGATATCATCATTGATATCACGATCAGCGTTTGAGGCCCGTCGTGAATTCTGACGCCCACGACGAGCAATGGTGGAAAGGCGGCATTCGTGCTCACTCATCTAAAATTATTGAGAAATAATATATAGAACATATTAAACTTGTGTTTAATATGAGAGGTCAAATGAGTTTTTAGTCTGATTTTTATGTTATGGAATTTAATTGTGTTAGATATTATTTTATCAAACCTTATAAAATCAATTTATGGAGTTTTTGTGTGGTATGATATTTTCCCTATTTGGTTATCAAACTTTGAAATATAGAACATATTAAACTTGAGTTTAATATGAGGGGTAGAATGTGTTTTTGTGTGGTATGAACCTTTGATAAATAGAACATATTAAACTTGAGTTTAATATGAGGGATCGAATCAGTTTTTTGTATGATTTTTATGTTATGGAGGTAACTTGTGTTGTGTATATTTTTTATGAAACCTTATATAAAAACAATTAATCAAACTTTTTATATTAAATTAATAAAATCAGTTTTTCCATATTAAATTATAAATCATCCGAAATCAGTTTTTTGCATTAATTTAGAAAATGTAGTTTATTACATCTTGTATTTTGTATTATTTATAAAAAACAATTTTCTAAAATCAGTTTATGGATTTTTTGTGTGGTATAATGGTTTAAACTTATTAGTTTCCTATTTATTTATCAAACTTTGAAATATAGAACATATTAAACTTGAGTTTAATATGAGGGGTAGAATGAGTTTTTTGTATGATTTTTATGTTATTGAATTTAATTGTGTTACGTATTTATCAATCTTTGAAATATAGAACATATTAAACTTGAGTTTAATATGAGGGGTAGGATGAGTTTTTTGTATGATTTTTATGTTATTGAATTTAATTGTGTTAGGTATTAATTTATAAAAAACAGTTTTCTGAAATCTATAAAATCATTTT